TCATTTACACGTAGCTATATATTTTGCACTCATTTCATTTCATGACGATTTCCTCTTACTAGGATTTCTGTCTCTTTATACAACAATCGCCTGTTTATAGGAAAACTATCAATAAAAACACAATTTCAAAATTTAATTTTTTTTTTTACTTTTTCTGTTTTGTTTGCAAAGACGTCCAATCACTAAATTGAATGAACATATGCATATTAATATGATTACTGTTAGCAAACATATGCGTAAAAACAGGAATAAGCATTTACTCAAGACTCCAAGAGACGAGATAATGTCTAGTCGTCCTTAATCCCCACAAAGAAGTTCTCATAAAATTGTCCCCCGCGGAGTCATCTTCACAAAACTCGACGCATTCCTCGTAAGTCTGAAATATCTTAATCATACTCACCAGCAGATCCCCTAGAAGACAAAGGAGTGTGATTTTTTCCAGCAATGTCGTCAATGGAGTCCAATACTCGTCAGAGGGTATATCATCATCACAATTCACATAAATTCTCTCCCCTAGATAAGCTTATTTCTCCAACATGGTAAAATTCCTCAGCAGAGCATATCCCTCAGCAGAGCATATTCCTCAACAGAGTGTTTCTCCAGAAGGGTTTATTTCCCCAACAGGGTTTATTTCCCAAATAAGATATAGTCTCCCTAGTTGAGTTTATCACTTTAACTACTATAAATCAGCGGCAAAACTTCTCTCTTCATCAAAGGGTAGTCCAGACCACTATCCCCATAGAGTTGCTACGAAACTTGAAACTCGACCAGATATCAATTAATCTTATCCTCCCCAGACGAGTCGACATCCACATCGAAAACTCGGTCAGACATAACCTCAGAAGGTTATCCATCTCTTTAATCCCCAGTCAGGGTATATAAGAATTAAACTCCCCAGTAGAGCGATGAATGACTAATGTTCATAAACTCTTCTTCCCAAACAGAAATCAACATTCCCCAAACAGAGTTTCCTCAAGCAGAAATCCCCAGCAGAGACATTTTAAACAAGATTGAAGATTCATATTCGTCATCCCCAGCAATAGTCTGAGATTTATTTTCCCAATAAAAAATGTTATACAAAGCTACCGACAAACTTCAACAACATCTGACATTCATACATCATTTATCATAGCATATGCATATGAAATGCATATAGCACACTCTCATTTTCTTTAAGAACATCATTATGCAATGCACTACATACATCATGAAATTGCATAAATACTAACTTTATCTTTTCAGGTAAAGTTCACAAACAGATGAACATCAACAACAATTTTCTAACAGGTCGCAGAGTAATTCCTAAAACAGGACGGGGTGACTATCTACATGACCAGACAATTTCCTCCAAAAACTTAATTCTGACAAGCATTTCCCTCATAGACTAAATATGACAAGTAGCTACGTAAGAATTTTCCCTAGAGAGCCATTCCGAAAAATATCTCTTCTAGATGAAGTCGTGCATAAACATCTTCTAGTGCATCATTCAGATGAAGTCAGACGTAGATTTCCTTCTGATACTCTTTTTAAATTAACATTAATTTAGACTTAGGTTTTTAATTAAGTTAATTAAATTAATTTTATTTTTTAATTAATTAAATTAATTGAATTAATTTCACCTAGTTTTTAGGGTTTAATTAGTTAAAATTAACTTAGTTTTTTTAATCAATTAATTCTTTTTCTAAATTAAAATCAATTAGGGTTTTTTTAGATTAATCATTAAACAATCACAAGACGATTTTCAATTTTATTTTTTCCTTTATTTCACCGCTTCACGTATTTACTATTTTCGCATTAGTTTTTCCCAATTATGTAATTGCTACGGTTTGTAATAGTCTTAATTAGGGTTTACATTTTCCCCAGTTTTATGGTTTTGTATCCCTACTCCCGAAGCCCTGTAACAATTTAGGTTTACTTTTAGCACCTTTACCACTTTCCTTATAACTGTTAGTAATTGGGCATGTATGGCAAGATCTAAAACAAAATGCTAGATAACCCTAATCAAGATCAAATAACTAAATTGAATCACTTTTCACACACTCACCTCTAGGGTAATCCCACCTGTTGCCTTTGAATAAAAACAGTCATGTCCCTCGAATGTGGGGACGCTTTAGTAAAGTCCCTCTGATACAAAAGATCATAGTTCCTCGATGACCCTTTCGACGTTGCTTTTAGTAAATGATCTAGTTCCTTAAACGATAATTTCTAAAGCGTCTTTATGATTTGCCTTAGGTGGCTGTACGACGACCTACGCTTGTCCCTTCACATCCAACGATAGGGCTTCCTACTAACTAATGGTAGGATAGCACTATCTAAGGGAGGAGGAAAATAACATGAAAGATCTTTGAGTAGGTAGATAGCTCGTAATCGCTTGCTCACACTTTTGAAAACATTTTTCGCACAAAGACTTTTCTGAAATATTTTCAAAAAATAAACACTTTGTACGCATTCATAACTTATACAAGAATCATTACAAATTTGCCGCACTTAGGCATTTTTTTCAAAATATTTTCAAACACATACACAAAATTATTTCAAAATAAAGTGAGCTAGCGATTAAGAGCCCGCAGATAACTACAGATGGAAAGGGTGCTAGCACCTTCCCTTTTCTTAACCTACCCCCGAACTCAAAATCTCGAAGGTCTTTCCTGTTCTTTTCACCCTTTCCTTATTGGATAAAAGAGAATTCGGTGGCGACTCTTTCTATCCATAACATTTACGATAAAACGCAAAATCAAGTCAATTCTCCCACCGTATTAATGACCCAAGGTTCTTAACCAAGCCATGCCTAGAACTATGTTTGCGCCTTCAATTGGGAGTAAATAGAACGACAAAGTAAAAGTTTTATTCTGCAGTAGGATTTGAACATTATTACATACTCCTTTGCATTGTAAATGAGAGCCATTTCCAACCATTACATAAAATTGACTAATTGGAGTAGTCTTAAGATGGAGGTGTTGAGTAATTTGAGGCTGCTTGATGTTATGTGTGCTGCTGGTGTCAACGAGAACCATAACAATTAGACTTCCAATGGACCCTTTAAATTTTAAAGTTTGAGGTGAAAATTGACCCGTCAAGGCTTGAGGAGAGAGCTGGAAATATGTGTCATTAATGTCTGGTTCACTAGGGGTTTCAATAGCACTTGGAATATCAAGCTGATCCTCCACCGCATTATCATCAACCAATAGGATGAGAAATCTGCTAGTAGTGCATTTGTGACCAATGATAAACTTTTTGTCACAATTAAAACATAAGCCTTGAGCTCTTCTTTCTTGCAATTGTGATTGGGTGAGACGGCAAATGGGAAATTTAGTGACGGGTGGGTACTAGTATGTTGGGATATAGGTTGGGAAAGCTGGGGAGGGGGTTGGTTTATAAGTGTTGATGTGGGAAAAGGCAGTAGAAGTTTTATGGTAGTTTGAGGTGAACGATTTGGACTATTTGGCCTTCGAATCTTTAATCTTGGACTCAATAAGTTTGGCAAGGCCTATGGCTTATGAAATAGAGGTAGGACGGTGAATAGAAATTTCATTTTGAATTTCTAGTTGGAGGCCTGAGATAAAACAATTTAGAATTGCTTCTTGTGGTAGCCCAAAAACCATGTTTCCTAACTGTTCAAATTTAGTTTAATATTCCACCACCAATCCCATCTGTTTGAGCTTAAAAAGTTCAGCTTGGTAATTTTCAAACGTAGATGGTCCAAAGCGTAATTCCAAGGCTTTCGTAAAAGCAAACCGATCTGTTAAAAACTGGTTTTGAGACATCCATTTAAACCAACATAAAGTGTCTCCCTTCATAGAGAAGGAAATTAATGATAAACGATTCTCAGGTGGTAAGTTATAAACCCAAAAAACTGCTTTGCTTGGAAGAGCCATTCTAATGGGTTTGATCCATCAAAAAGTGTTAGCTCAAGTTTTGGGGTTCTAAAAGGGGGTAAGGGACGTATTTATGTAAGTTGCTGGTATGAAATATGCTGGTGAAAGGGAGGAGGGTTACTCTGGTTTTGCATAAACGCGGGTTGGGAGTGTTGGCCATATGGGTATGGTGGAAAAGGTGGTGGTGGTGGAACTGGTGTGATTAATGGTGGGATGGTGACGACAGTGTGGGTGGGGGAAAGGGAATATGTGGTTGTGTTACATAAGGGAGTGTGAAGCGGTGTTGTAACGGTGGTGGCGGGTGGGTTAAGCTAAGAAGAAAAAGGAGGTGTTTGGCTAATACCCAAAGATTGCTCGATGGACATGCTGGAAGCAGCGTGTTGGATTTCTCATTGCATAACGAGTTGGTGGAGAATCGTCATAATTGATTTGTGCCGAGAATCTGCAATGTGCTTCTCTTTGTTAAAACACAAATGGATTTCGCCGACCTGGTGCGTGAGATCCGAGGCAGCTAAGTTGAACCTTTCATCCAGCTGTTGCAGCTGTTCTTGCATGACATTATTCAAATTGAGTTGAGCAATATGAATGGATTCTTCCACAATATCTTTGGAAGAAGGGTTTGGGGGTTTTGGGGGAGCCATGAATTCAAGGGCATGAAAGCACCAATGATAGTCTATACTAAGTTAACCTAAGATCTAAAATTGCATAAAACGAAAATAAGATAAAACAACCTTTCTTCTTACTTCAACAAGAGCACAATTATAACTTATATAGTTAGGTTCATAAACCTAATAGGCCATGGGCCAGCCAACTACTAACACAAAAGTCCAAAAGATAACATAAAAATTTCTAATTACACATACTATCTTAAATATAATCTTTTAAGAGAACTGATTTTCTTTTCTCTCTAATGGACCTATCTTTCTTCTTCATAACAGACAAACTAATTATTTATATGCCTTTAAAATGAAACTTTTTCATTATATTATTTGTGGATAATACAACATATAAAATAAAACGAGGTCTCTCTAATCTCTAAGGAGACTCGTATATATCTAAATTTTATTATGAAAAGAAATTTGATAATTCATTAAACTAAAAGGACAAAATATATAGACTCGTGATTTAAAGATGAAGTGAGAGATCCAAATCCTCATCATCACTTGAATCGTCAATTTCAATCACCAATCTGGTTGGAATTGTATTCTTGTCATCCTTGAAAAGAAGTAGCTCTTTATTTTGAGTTTGTTTTTCATTAAAACTAACAATAGAAGTAGTCAACGGACCTCTCCGAGCTTCATTTTCTCTAGTATTAAACACATGATGCTCCATTGTTGAATCAAAACTAGCATTTCCATGGCCTGAAGAATAAAACATGCTTAAATTAGTAGTTTTAATAGGATAAAATTGAGGAAGATTTGCATTTTGTATTGAAATATTGTTCAAACCTTTGTAGTTATTCATATCAATCCTTGAATGAGGATTGGAATCATTCAATGCTAAAGGGTTGTTATTATTATTGTTAGGATTTGCATTAAGTATAACAATATCCTCCAAACCTTGGTATCTATTCAAATCGATCCTTGAGCAAGGATATGGAGAATATCGAAAATTCATTGGATTCTGGATAATTGGTCTTGAAGATTTCTGATACCCAGTTGCAACACCATTGGATGAGGAATTCTGAGATGCATAACGAGGATAAGAAGGAATGAGAGAAGTGTTGCGTGAAATAGATGAGGAAGTTTGAGACGAGTTTTGAAGATTAGAAGGAATCAGATGAGTGTTTCCTAATCTCGAGGAGGAAATTCGAGATGAGTTTGGAAGAGAAGAAGGAATGAAAGCATTGTTTCTTGAACTCAAAGGCAATGTTCGACTATATCGAGCTGGTGCAAGGAATGAGGAAGGGTTGTTGCTGGAGAATGAGAATTGAACCATTGGTTGTCTTGTAGCATTAGCAATATTATTATTCTGATACCTCCCTGCATTTAACATGTGAAGTCAATATTAATTTAAGTTTAAAAGTAAAATTTCAATAAAATGAATGCAAAAATTTAAAATAAACAACAATTACAAGAAGTATCGAGATATTATCACAGAAAAACTCTTAAGTGAGATACCAAACTAAAATATGTCAAAGACAAAGCAAATAGACTAGAAGCCAAGAAAGACACCCCACCCTTATAAACAAGAAATAAACTCTAAAACTGTTATTGGCTCAAAAAGATGATATAATTTTAAGCCACTAAAAGAAAGTATAAGAATAGACTGGAGACATAGGAATATATCATTTATAGGATAGAAATATTCTTGTCTTTCAAATTATCCATGTATTAATACTTTTATTAATGACAAATAATATATATAAATAAAAGGAGAAATAGAATTCCAAGAGCACAAAAATAAGGTACAATAAATACCAATCCAATACACTACCAAAGTAAATTGGATATAAAAACTACAGAGTGAAAATCAAACATGAGATAGGTAATATAAAATAAAACTTAAAAAAACAAAAACTAAAGATAAGAAAATAAGTTAAATCTCATCCCGTAGAAACACTTCACCAAAAGAAAACGCTAGTTACACACCTACCAAAGTATCATTTCTATGCAAATAAGATTTTATGTTTAATTTTAAAATGAAAATTAATGTCAATTTATGACTCTCTTTGAAAATATTTATAATTTAAAATTACAAAGTTAAACTCTTGTCACCGAAGTAACTTTTCAAGCATATAATAATAATAATAAAAAAACATGTAAGATTCAAAAAAATCAACACTAAGAAAATATGGTTATACCTTGATTGTAATTGTTGAGACTTGTGAAAGGATTTTGTGGTGTTTGAAAGTGAGAATTTGATAATAAATGATTATTGGAGATTTGATTCTCATACTCATTAGGACGAGTACGGCCATTGTTTTGAGTTATTTCTCTACGAGTAACCCAAAAATTACTCGCCATGATTATGAAAATTAATTATTTCAAAAGAACTCAGAAGAAATTTATTTGCTATAAGATAAAAGTTTCATATAGTTATAATCCTAATTTATAGTACAAAAATTCTTTTAAGTATACAAGGAAAGTCATTTCACTATAAATGTGGCTAGATTCACATCACTAAATTTGTTCAATGTGATTGTATTAAAAACTATGAATAATTTTAATAGTTGTATTAATATTTTAATAATTGTATATATAGATATTTAAAAAAGGAAATTTATAAACTAGAAAAGAAAAAAAGAAAATATCCATATAAATATAAATCTATATGGTTTATATTTAATATAAATTTATTAAATATATTTTTATACTATTTGTCTTTGATATTTTTTATTTTTAACATCAAAACGATAGATTTTTTAACAAAGAGTATGCATAAAAATGTTATATCACCTAACATAATGAAAATAATTCTTAAAAGAATTAGTTTTTCATTAAAAAAATGGCGTAAAATTTGTTGTCCATTTTCCTACTATTTACATTTATGTATAATTCTGATTTTTTCCACTATAATATTATATGTGTCTTAGGAAATAGTGCTAGTTTAATTGCTTCCTTGAAATATATATATATATATATATATATATATATATATATATATATATATATATATATATATATATATATATATATATATATATATATATATATATATATATATATATATATATATATATATATATATATATATATATATATATATATATATATATATATATATATATATATATATATATATATATATATATATATATATATATATATATATATATATATATATATATATATATATATATATATATATATATATATACTATTCATCTATTAATAGTATAGTTATATATATAGTCATTGTATAAAAAAATTATTTATATCTTACCATATTAATTTTGTTTGACCAAAATAGTATATAAATAACTTATAAGGCAAAATTTCAAAAGTATGGTTATTAATTTTTACTTTTTAATTCATTTTTGGTCATGAAATTACTATTATGTCATTTATTATAATGCTTAATATTTGTTATTTTTATTTTAGTAAATTAATCTGATCATTTTGATTCTTTAATTTATAAAAGTGTTATATTAGTCTTTTAACTCTTCAAAATATTAGTTTATTTTATATAATTTATGAAAAAAAATAAAAAAATTGATGATTAATTAAAAGAAAATGATTATCATGATACAATTTAAAAATTTAAGAATCTAACATGTATTATTTTAAATTAAGGGAATAAAATAAATTCTGAAGTTAATATATTAGACGAGTATTAAACTTTATTATAATTTTAAGATTACAATCCTTAAAATATAAATTAAACAAAATAAAAGTCTATGAGCAATATATCAAAATTATTTTAAAATAGAATATTAATTGAGTAAGATTTTAAAAAAATTACTTCTAGAATATATTAAAAATTCATCAATATTTAAAATATAGTTATAGTCTTAACTAATTTTTATTTACATGATTTAGTAAACAAGTTTATATAGTCAACACACTACAATCAATCATTTATGTAATTGTAAAAGTGGTTAAATTAAAAGTTAAAATTTTAATGATTATAATTAATCGATTGTGTAAAAAAATATGTTTATTGTTAGTGCAAACAAATTAAATACTTTATGTATATGTCTATTCGTTTACGGTTATAATGAAATATGTTTGTAATAAGACAAATGTCTGCATGCTATTTTTCGGGTCTCATAAATTTTAGAGAAAAGAAGCAATGTATTCACTTGTAAAATAAATTTTAATTTTAAAAAATTTTAAGGATTTAATTGAAATACAATGATGGAGTAAGAAAATTTTACAAATCACAACGGTTGATTTGTTTTAAATGTTTGATTTTTATTTTAATTTTTACAATACATAGTAATTAAACTCAAATTTTAATGAATGATAGATTGTTGATTTTCTATTTATTGAATGTGTAAAATACTTTACACCGATATTATATGAATATTATTCTCTAAATTTTATCTCATATGTTTTTTTTTTCTTTAAATATAACATTATATATTTTTCTTAAAGATTAATTGTCATGTAATGTCAGTGTAAATAATTTTATACCATTAGTACATCATAATTCATAACCACTCATAAATATTATTTTATTAATAATTAAATTAAAAATCAAATCAAATTTTATTTTTAAGATTATCATTTATTGAATTTCAATTATTATTTTACATTCAATGAACGAACCCCAATTTATATCAAATTAAGGATCTTATGGATACATGAGTAAGGGATTGATTGTTATTGGGCTATAGCTTAAGGGCACATTAGTGAAATACTAGTCAGTGAGACTATTTTGGCATTTGACTCTTATACATATAAATAGCCATTAAAGGGAGAAAATCAAAATTTTCACAACTCTCCTCTTTTTCCCACTCTCCTCTTATATTTGTCTTCATCCTCACCATGGAGAGAGTTTCATTTTTGTCACCTCACTAAGAAAAAGAATCGCACATACAGTCTTAACCTCATGTCATTTCTACACATTCTCATTTACACACACACACACACAGAGAGA